TCACTTATTGACAAGACGAAAAGGTGGTAACGATATAGGATGCGTTATCGCTATTGATAATGCAACGAGCCCACCATAGGAAAGAGTATTTAGATTTATTTCAGCCAGGGATCCACATTTTACAAATCCAATATGGCTGCCAAAATCCAAGATGGCCACAAAATATACAATGTACATGGGATATGACAAAATGGAGTTATTTATGGCATAAAAATGATATTTGACATTATAGGTCAAAAATATTTCAGTAGAAATTTCTTTAAAAAATGCTTAAGTAGCATTTTTATAAAATTTTATTATGTGGCAGCCATTTTGGATTTTGGTGGCCATATTGGATTCAGATCCCAGGCTTGAATCAAAAGGATTTTATCAACTAACAAGTGTGCCAGTTTCATGCTTTTCACAAGAGGTGCACAATTCATCCTTATTTTTTGCACAGATTTCTTGGACTAAGGAGAAGTTGTTTAAAGAAATTGTTGATGCATGGACAGACGGATGATGGACAATGTGCCATCACAAAAGCATACCTTGAGGACATTGTCCTTAGGTGAGCTAAAAAGGATTTAAGTACTTTTAAAAAGCATTGTTTGGATTATCAATTATGATATGTTGGATTTGCTCTCATTACTGCAAAAGTCGTGTGCCATATGTCTAGCAGGACTGTGTGCAATGTGCCATTGATTACACAAGTATTTGATTTATCATCTTGTTATTTCTTTGACAACTTCTTACAAAAACAGTTCAAACTAGAACGATTAATACCCCCACCAGCAACTTTGACTATTTGAGAAATAAGTGGTCTGAAGTAAAATTTGAACTCAACCTTTAGTAAATAAAGTATCAACTGTGTACAATTAGAATTATTTCAATTAATTTCAATCCCAACTGGGGTCTTAATATAAGCTTGCTATACACCAAGTTTGATTACAAAATCTCATTCCTAACTCAAGTTATTGTCTGGAAACCATTTTTCTATTTTTAGTAACTGTGACCTTGACCCCAGGGGGTCCAAATGCAAACCCAAGTGGGGTCTTCATATAAGCTTGCTATACACCAAGTTAGATTACAAAATCTCATTCCTTACTCTAGTTATTGTCCAGAAACTATTCTTTCTATTTTTAGTAATGGTGACCTTGACCTTGACCCCAGGGGGTCCAAATACAATACAAACCAGAGTCTTCATAAAAGCTTGCTAAACACAAAGTTGGATTACAAAATCTCATTCCTAACTCCGTTATTGTCCGCAATCCATTGTTCTATTTTTAACGGTGAACTTGACCTTTACCCAAGGGGGTCCAAAAACAGTACCAACCGGAGTTTCCACATAAGGTTGCTATACACCAAGTCTGATTACAATACATCATTCCAAACTCTAGATATCGTCGGAAACCATGATGTGGACAGACGGACTGATAAGCTGACTCCTATATATATCCACCTAAACTTCGTTTGTGGGGGTACAATAAACTTTCAAGGTGATTTCAAAAATATTATCATTTTGTACGTTAGCAGCATAATACTTCTATAAAAATATTACCGCGCCACAAACTTCACCTTTGCTGCAAAAGCCGTACAGGCCACATTATAATAGTAGTTCATAGATTTTAAGTGTTTGTAGGCTGTTTTTATTTATTTTTTCGTCATATAAACTTTTTTTTTACAAAATAACAAAAGTATCAAAAACAGTATGGTATTTAACAGTAATTTACGAAGTTACTATTCGGGATACACAGAACCAATACTAGGAACCGGTGTCCAACCCTAATTATGATGTTTTCTCATATATATGATATTCATTTTTTATTTTATCAGTCAGATAAATGTTCTTTGCAATTAAACTGGAACAAAAAGAAAACAAGATTGCATTTGAGAAAATGCTATGCCACAGCATTAATACAACACTAAATAGTAGTGTAGGAACAGATTTTTTTTTGTTTCTATACAATTGAAGATTGTCATAATGCATAGATCCCTGACCTATCTTATTCTTATTATCAGATTACTGGTTAAATCTATTGTTAACTCAATAAAAGATCAGAGTAGGAATATATCAATGCACTTGAGTCTAGTGAATTTGGTGGTGAATGTCATATTTCACACAGCCTAAATTTCATGACTACATCAAAGGACAACACAGTAAGACACTTTGTCAAAATCTATGTCAGCTGATATCAAAGTTCACTTTACATCTTAATCTGTGCACATGGTTCAAATTTCATAGCTGTACATCAAAGGACAAGAAAGTAGGTCACATCATCAAAATTTGGTCACCTGATATCAAAGTTCAATTTTACAACTAAAACTGTGCACATGGTCAAAACTTCATTGCTGTACATCAAAGGACAAGAAAGTTGGTCACTGTCCCATTGGGCAAGGCAAAATTTTGACCCAAGGGTTTAATTCAAAACAATCTTGATACAGGTCCACCAAACAACATTTCAAGTCAAATATCTAAGCTGTAGCTTTCTCCCATTCAGAAACATTTCTTTTATTTTCTGTTTTTACTATGTGTACATAATCAGAATCACTGCCCCGGGCAGGGCCAATTTTGACACCAGGGGAAAAATTTGAACAACTAGAGGACCTATAGATGATATTATATAGCAAACATCAAAACTCTATGCCTTGTACCTTCAGACAAAATATTTTTTTTTTTTTTTACTATATGTCCATAATGAAAATCAATGACCCCCGGGGCGGAACCAATTTTGACCCCAGGGCTATAATTTGAACAATCTTGGTAAAGGTTCACTTCGCAAAGTCTCATGCCATATATTTAACCTCTAGCCTTTGTCAATTCAGAGAAGAAGATTTTTCAAGTTTTTACTTTATACATATAAGGAAAATTATCGCCTCTGGGGCAGGGCAATTTTAACACTAGGGGCATGATTAAAACAACTTTAGTAGAGGACGCATTGATGATATTATATACCAAATATCAAAGCTCTAAGCCTTGTACCTTAAGACAAGAAGATTTTTTAATTTTTTACTATATGTAAATCAATGACAAGAGGGCCATGATGGCCCTATATCGCTCACCTTAAGGAATAGATCTTAACTGGATTTTTCTTATTTAAAACAAGCAACATGTTTATAAAATACTTTAATGTTATTTAGTTAGTGTCAAATGTAAAGTATTTTTGAGCAAGAGGGATGCAATCAAGTGTATAGAAATACCTCTTTTTTCTTTTCTTTAAAGTATAGGTTGCTAAAAAATACACTCCCTGTAGTGTGTTTACATCATGAAAATTTTAACAATGACATCATAATTAACATAGGCGAAGTACAAATTTGGATAATACTTCAATAAAAATGGGTCAAAGACAAAAATGGCCGGGTTGCATTTGTTTACCAAATAACATGACTCATGAGGCTGTGATGTTACAAAAATGTACTACCATTGACCAGTAATGTCAAACATTTTACTAAGTCGGTAAACAGGAAGCGATAGACCTGAACTTGGGACCACATATTAATGCAGTCACATTACCAAATATCAAGAGACTGTGTTATGTAGTTGCTGAGAAAACTGTTACGGAAATTTCCTTCCATTTACAATTAATGCCAAAAATTCAACTAAGTCATCAAACGGGAAGTGGATGAGCCACATACCTGAAATCATATCCCATTGTATGTGACTACATGTTGATGCTGCATACCAAATATCAAGAGGCTGTGATAAGTAGTTGCTGAGAAAATCGTTAGGAAAAATTCCTACCATTGACCATTATTATGAATTTAACTAAGTCAGTTAACATGAAGTGGATGAGTGACAGACCTGAAATCGAATCCCATGGTATGGGACAATGTGTTAATGCTGTATACTAAATATTATGAGGTTCTCTAGAGTAGTTGCTGAGAAAAATGTTACCAACTAGAAATGTGTCCATAGGACACGGGTGCCCCCACCTTGCCACTGTTCTGTCAATCTTTTAGATAAGTCAAGGGATATAACTCTACAAATACTGGATAAATCCACAAACGAAACCCCAGGTGCAAATCTAAATATGCTGAGCAACCTGCCCGTAAGGTTTAATGAATATGTCAAATCCTTTTTGAGTAACTTGCGACACAAGTTGAAAATTGCAAAAATTTTCTAAGTGAAGGGCAATAACTCTAAAAATACTAAATAAATCCAGACGAAAATACCCAAGTGCACAACTGCACATGCTGATCAACATTCCTGTAAAGTTACATGACTCTAGGTCAAATACTTTTTGAGTTACATGCGACTCATGTTGAAAATTACAAAATTTTACTAAGTCAAGGGCAATAACTCTGAAAATAATAATAATATCCAAACGAAAATACCCAGGTGCACAACTACACATGCTGATCAACATTCCTGTAAAGTTTCATGACTCTAGGTCAAATACTTTTTGAGTTACATGCGACACAAGTTGAAAATTGCAAAATTTTACTAAGTCAAGGGCAATAACTCTGAAAATACTAAAAATATCCATACAAAAATACCCAGGTGCACAACTACACATGCTGAGCAACATTCCTGTAAAGTTTCATGACTCTAGGTCAAATACTTTTTGAGTTACGTGCGACACAAAAGTGAACGGACGGACGGACAAGGGTAAATCTAAATGCCCCCCCACGTTAAATGGTCCAACCAATTCGCCTGCCTGCCCGGAATTAAGTCTCAATACATGATGGTAAACAGTATTTTTTTTGCATATGATTATGTAAAATTTTTCTAAAACCAGTATTATAAGTGTACCAGATATCCCATTAGTGTTTAGATATTAAAATAATTTTTGATAAAGGTGTTTACTCAGGGGTATCATGTTGGGGACAGGATCTAACCCCCAAGCATCTATGGTTTATCATATTTGGACATCCCTTTCTACAAAAACTTCTTCCTGTTCACATGAGTGGCTCTATACACAGGTTTAATCATAAAATAAAATCATGTAAAATGTTATTAAAAAAAAAACAAACAGCAGGGATCTCAGGAAGGTCAGAATTTCACGTGGCAGACTGTTTGGCCAAAAATTTTCATAAGTCAAATCAGTTTTTTCTTGTGTTATTTTTCTACACGAATCATTTTCATGTTTTCAGAAATTACTGTTTGGGAAGTCATTTAGAGTAGATTTTCAAGTTTAAATTGATAACTATTGTAAGGTTAGGCAATTATAAGCTTCTTGCTTAGTTAACATGATAAAGATAATTAAGTATTTCTAGCACCATGGATAATTACCATAATTATTGTTCCATTTTCACTTACATTTATTGAGGTGATAAACACATGTGTACATGCAGGGGTAAAAGTTACAGAAACTGAAAATACTGAAAGAAAAAGTTGGGGGTCAGGGGGCCGCTAGGGCCCCCGGTGGAACCATGGCAACGCCCTGGCTAGGGGTTCAGGGGGCTGGAGGCCCTCAGAAGCTTTTGCAATTTAGTGAATTTAAAAGTTCAAAAAAGGTTCAGATACATACTCAAGTGCTTTATATATCTTCAGATGTAATTAATCTGATATGTTAAAATTTACACAAATTCACTGAGTAATACTATTTAAGCAATATATACACATTCCACATAACAAATTATGTTCATTCTTTTACTTTCAATTTCATATCTTAAATTTAATCCTTTTCCATTGTCTTCCACTTGTTAATGTAGCACACTTTCAACTGACTTGACAATTTCTTCAGATGTGGAAACATTTTGAATTTTCAATCCTAAATGATCCATTACTACTTGACTAGTTTCATCATCAAAGTACTGAAAGATTACTTTGTTATTGTTTTTTGTTAGTTGCCTCATCCATATTCAAAGATATTAACTTATCTTTCACTTTTGACTTCACTCCATCCTTAACAGATTTGGCTACACCATGTGTTGTTATGTACATTGCACTGGTTGGAGAAAGAGTAGTTTTTTCAAGAGCAGACTTGTCTTCAGCTAAACGTTTGGCAAGATGTTAGAGATTGCCTGCTATGGAAAATGGCAGTCAACGTTCACTAAGAAAGGCAGTTATGATTGCTCTTTGTTTGGCAATGCGGTCTTGCATACTTTCAATCTTTTTGTCCACAGCTTTTGATGAGCCTGGCAGTACCTGAAAACGACAATTTTCAAATAAAAGATGTATGAAACATATCAAATAAAATATCACACGCATAAATTGTCAATTTAGTTTGGAAACAAGGAGATAATCAAACTAAAAAAAACATAGATAAAGAAAATCGTGTTCTAATCCTTAAAATAATATCAAGCTGGAAAAAAATCTCCAGACCTATTAAAAATTTGGGCATAGGTTCCCCTGCACAAGGCCATTTTTTAATTCAACCCCCAACCCTTGCCCAGACCACATGAAAGTTGGGGGAAGACAGAAGAAAAAGAGGGTGGGGTAATGTGAATTGTTTATTAACTACACAATGCACATCTAAACCTCTTTTCGTTACTTACTACAAAGAGAAAATGATCTTACTTGGTCTAAGATTCTTTTAGTGGTCCTCATCTTCAGCTCATCGTGATTAAGAAGCACCTTTTTCTGTTCGATTTGTCTAGTTGATCGTTTTGGAACAGACTTCACAAAAGCCCATTGCATTTGGTTTCTTCAACCAAGCATCCCATTTTTCACATTTAGAGTCCTTTTCCGCTAACCACTCCCACCTCCATTTGTTTTTTGCACCCTTTTTCAGACCAGGCGGTAAACACTTCACTGTTGTTGTCATTGTATTTGTACATGTATTTTGACATCAAATGACTATGCAACAAACGATTTCATTGGCTGGTAAAAAACGACGACCAATCAAATCTGATCTTGTATATTCCAGCTCAATTTTTCATTGGCAATCTCCGTATTGTAATTGTTTTGATTCCTATACAAACGGGTCTGAGATGGACAAATTTATTTTAAAATATATATCAAGCATTATCAAGCAATGTGCACACGCTAATTAATGAGGAATGCACACACACCCTTTTCCTTAAGCAAAATATTTAAGCTCTAGGCCTTTTGGGTCTTTACAAGAAGATTTTTTAAATTTATTCTTATAATTCCTTTTGGTTGCCATGGCAACCAGATTTCTGCACGGAATAAAATTCTTTGAACAACTTTGGAAGCCCTTCACCCAAGGATCAATCCTGCCAAGTTTGGTTGAAATTGGACTAGTGGTTTTTCACAATAAGATTTTTTAAGGTCACTATATAATCTATATAACACACAAACACACACACCCACACACACTATCGCAGATGCTGCGGTGGCATAATAAAGGGCGCGTCCATCACAATAACACATAATAACTATGAAAACAACATAATCACTATGAAAACAAAAGACTACAATAGTTAATATTAATATAATAATACTTGTATATGTGCCATGTAAGCTTGGACAACATCTAAGCCATACTCATCTATAAGACCTTTGATCAGGTTGATGCCTTTTTGATTTGCAGCAACTTGAGCCTTGAGGTCACTGAGGTTATCGTGTAGGTTACGGGTACCACTGCTGCCTGGGAACTGTGATGGGGCATTCAGTGCTTCTGTAACAGCTATAATACAGATATCATTAAGTAAGATTAACTATATAACTACATTACAATTACATTAAACTATCAAGGGAAATAATAGTTTAAATTTTTTTTCTTTTATTTTATGTTTTTGTTTTATTAAGAATATATTAGAAAATATATTACAATAGTGTTCTAGGTGTTTCTGAAATTTCAAAGTTTATAAATTCACATTCTTTATGAGTATTTTTGTATAGATCTATCTGCAAAAATGTATATTATATATTACAATGTTTCAAATGCATTAAATTTTACAGACAATTATGGAGGCAAGGTGAATATTTTATGGGTAAAATTATAAACCCTTAACTAATATTCAAAGTATGTTAAACAATGGCCATGATGACCCTTATATCACTCACCTAATTATTGAGGCTCTCAATTGTTAGCAATGAATAAAAGGCAGATATTAATGCCATAAACTTAAACTGATATCATAACATTCATATCTGCAAAAATTCAAAGCCAATGGACTTTGAAAGTATTTGAGGTATTACAAAAACTTAAACGTAAATTCTAAGTCGAAAAAGGGGCATAATTCTGTCAAAATGCTTGATAGAATTACCTCCTCCTGTCTACATGTTGGGGTCATGATGGTGAACAAGTGTGCGAAGTTTAAAAGCCATATGTCAATGGACTTTGAAAATATTTGAGGTATTACAAAAACTTTAACATAAGTGCGACGCTCGGGTGACCACAATAGCTCTACTTATTCTTGTCGAGCTAACAAAAAGATTAGAAAAACCTTTCAATTCCATTTTTGAGACAACACCAATCTTTTTTCTATTTTTCATGCATTGCAACATAATTATGCTATATGATTATTTTTATAAGTTTATTATAAACTGCAAAAATATTTAAGATTTCTTTTTTCTTTTTGTACTACTTGTAGTGAAATTTATTTGCACCAACACACAGAGAATACAGAATTCCCTACATTGCCTACTTATATTTATCGGAAGATGGACGAAACCCCACCAGTTAAAACCCCACCACTCAAAATTTTATAGTGGACAAAACCCCACCAATAAATTTTACAGAGTGGACAAAACCCCACCACTAAATTTTACAGAGTGGACAAAACCCAACCACTTCAGTTCTACAGAGTGGACAAAACTTTCTTGAAAATCTTTGAATCTTGTAAAAAAAACAAACAATTGTGCATCAGCAGAAACTCAAAAGAATGTGTGAACAACTCATCAATAAGGAGAAGACTGTGTAACCTGAGTTTCTTCAGGCTATCGGCCACTGTATCCGCTTTAACTAAGTACAATGAAGGAAAATAGACTCAACTGAATAAACTAGAAATGTGCTATACAAAATGTGCTATTTTTTATCATTAATTGATGAAAATGTGCTATATTCTTGATTAATTGTAAGTAGTTTATTTTTTATATAAATAAATTGAAGAAATGAATTTGAAGAAACTAATAATAATGGATAATTCAAGGTCATAAATGTGGCACAGTCTCAAATAAATGACTACTCTTTGATGTTGATTTAACAGTTTGTAAATTGTTTGTAAAATCTCATTCATTGTATTATATTGCTATTGAAATAAATGCTATATGCTATAATTATCATGTTTTGTTCTTAAGGGATTTGGATGTTTTTTGTGTACAGTTTGTAACACCTTTTTTGCAATCAATAAATAATCTGTTTTGTTCTTCGGGCATTTGGATTAAGTTTTTTGTGTACGGTTTGTAACACCTTTTTTGCATATTGCACATGCAACATGTACATGCATTGTTAATAAAATTGTTCATTCTTATATTCTTCACACATGTTATATTGAAATTAAAAAATGAAATGTGAAAAAAAATGTGTATATTATATATATTTTAATTCATCAAATCTTGCCCAATAATTTGTAAGTGTGGGGTTTTGTCCACTCTATCAAACTGAAGTGGTGGGGTTTTGTCCACTCTGTAAAATATGATTACAATAAATAAATAAAACGTGTTTGTTAAACACAAATGCCCCCTGATTCTTGTCAGTAGCAATATTTCAAAAAAATGTTTACCCATTCACTCAGTTATGGACAGAAAAATTGCCAAAAAAATTGTAAACACAAGTTATATAGTTTGACAAAGTCATGGCATTTTGTAATTGTGAAAAGCTCAGGTGAGCTAAAAGGTTAAAACTGCTGATTTTAAAATTTACTTATTTATATTCATGAATAGGCCATATATATTCCCAAAGTTTTTTTTCTTACAGCAACTTAACAATGGATGCCCCCTGTCACTTGATATGCAATTATCAAATAAACCATTTAGGTGTCACCTTCCCTGGCCAGCCTGGTCATATGGTCTAGTGCATTAGAAGTGCACACGGTGTGCACTTCTAGTTCAGCTCTAGCACAAGGGTGGGGAGTTTAGTGTGAACTCAACTGTAGATTAGTGCAAATGTTAATAAAGGTTTTCCATATATGGTTTTCTGTGCTGTGACCTTTTTTTGATCTCAGACGACCCATATTCAAGCCTGAACTAGAAAACATACAAACAACTTTTCTGACCAATTACTAGGATATTTGGGCTAAAAATGTAACGTCTAGAGTGATAACAAGCAAATTTGTTTAATTTATATCACCCACCAAGTACTGGTTATTACTACATAACAACTGAAGACACAAGGTTATATATATACATATATATACAGTCGAGACTGCCTTAGCGACCCCTTATATATGCTTTATATATATTTTGGCATTATCCTGTACAAGGTGATGATATGGGCAACTCGTCTTGGTATTTATAATTCCCATAGTTTCGTTGAATTCCATCCAGTAGTTGCAGAGAAATAACACGGAAACGAATATTGCTCTATAATGCACACTGCATAACTAATCAAGAGCCATAACTCTATCTTAAAGGGCCAGACCTGAACAAGATGACTATATGCGCAACTCCTATTGGTATTGATTGTTTCCACAAAGTTTTCTTCAAATCCAGTAACAAGTTGCAGAGAAATAGCACGGAAACAATTATTGCTCTAATTATTATGCATTATTGCACAAATAATAAAGTGCCATAACTCTGTCTTGTAGAGTCCGACCGGCATAAAATGACGATTAGAAATCATCAAAACAACCTTTCTGACAAATTTTCAGGATATTTGGGCTTAAAATGTAACCTTTAGAGTGAGAACAATATCTTCCATTTTTTGTCAGTGTGAACTAGATTTTGACCATGGGAGACCCATTTCAAAGCTGAGCAAGAAATCATCAAAACAACCTTTCCTCAGATTAGCTTAAAAAACTCCTAAAAAGTACACCATTTCTATATATTTATGAAAAAAAGATAAAGATCCAAAAGAGAGATAATGTTATTATTTACTTTTATCAAGTCAATCTCTTGTACAGTTATTGCTCACTCCACTTCTCACAGTACCCACCAAGTTATATTTTGAGTTTCAAGTGAATATCTTTTATAGTAAATACTTAATGAGTTACTGTCTGGACAAAAACTAAGCATGAAAAATAACAAAGGGCACTAACTAAACAAGAGCCCGGTTTGAGCCTGGTGATGCTCCCCGAATAGGTTTTGGACACAGGAAAGTACACCTCTTGTAGTTTCAGAGTTATGTCCCTGGAAAAAGTTCAAAGTGCAATAATTCCAAAATTAGGAAAGGCAGAGTTACTGTTCTTTCCACTGCACTTCTAATCACTGTTATCTATCAACTTAAAAAGTTTCTTGTTGATATCTCTTATGGTTTCCGAGTTATGTTCCGGACAACTTCAAAAAGTAAAAATAAACAAATGGCAATAACTCCAGAATTAGGCAAGGCAGAGTTATGATTCTTGTGCACTGCACATCTACCCATTGTGATACATCTACCTACAAAGTTTCATGTTGATATCTCTTATAGTTATACAGCTATGTCCAGTACAAGATTTTTCTAAAAGGGGAGATAATTCAAAAATGAGGCTTAACAGAGTTATGGTTTTTTGGCACTGCACTTCTACTCAATGAGATCTATCTACCTACAATGTTTCATCTTGATATCTCTTATAATTTTAGAAATATGTTCCGGACAAAGTTCAGTGTTAAAATTAACAAAGGGCAATAACTCCAAAATTAGGACGAAAAGAGTTATTGTTCTTATGCACTGCACATCTACCCATTGAGATCTATTCACCTACAAAGTTTCATGTTGATGTCTCTTATAGTTTTAGAAATATGCCCCGGACAAGATTTTTCTATAAGGGGAGATAATTTAAAAATGAGGCTTAACAGAGTTATGGTTCTTTTGCACTGCACTTCTACTCAATGAGATCTATCTACCTACAATTGTTTCATCTTGATATCTCTTATAGTTTTAGAAATATGTTCCTGACAAAGTTCAAAGTGTTGAAATTAACAAAGGGCAATAACTCCAAAATAAGGACGAAAAGAGTTATTGTTCTTATGCACTGAACATCTACCCATTGAGATCTATTCACCTACAAAGTTTCATGTTGATATCTCTTATAGTTTTAGAGTTATGCCCCGGACAAGATTTTTCTATAAGGGGAGATAATTCAAAAATGAGGCTTAACAGAGTTATGGTTCTTTTGCACTGCACTTCTACTCAATGAGATCTATCTACCTACAATGTTTCATCTTGATATCTCTTATAGTTTTAGAGTTCTGTTCTGGACAAAGTTCAAAGTGTTGAAATTAACAAAGGGCAATAACTCCAAAATTAGGACAAAAAGAGTTATTGTTCTTATGCACTGCACATCTACCCATTGAGATCTATTCACCTACAAAGTTTCATGTTGATATCTCTTATAGTTTTAGAGTTATGCCCCGGACAAGATTTTTCTTTAAGGGGAGATAATTCAAAAACCAGGCAAAATAGAGTTATGGTTCTTTGACACTGCACTCCCCCTCAATGCACTCTACCACTGTATGAAGTTTAAACAAATTATCTCCAAGGGTTTTCAAGTTATGCCCCGGACAAGAAAACGGACGGACAGACGGACGGAGGGACAAGGCGCCAACTATATGCTCCCCCGAAATTTTTCGGGGCCAGTTTAAACCCCACGGCTTTTATTTGAACAAACTTGGAAGACACCCATTAGAAGCTGTTTCACAATGTTAAGTTTTTACTACACACATATAATGAAAACCAATGATCTACTCCCCCCCCCCAATCAGGGCCAATTTTAATCCAGGGGCTTTTATTTGAACAAACTTGGTAGACACCAATAAGAAGATATTTCATGCTAAACATCTAAGATCTAGCTCATTGGGTTTTTTAAAAGAAGATTTTTTAAGTTTTTACTATATGCATATAGGGAAAATCAATGACCCCCTGGGGCGGGGTCAATTTTGACCCTAGGGCTTTTATTTGAACAAAATTGGTAGACACTCATTAGAACATGTTTCATGCTAAATATCTTAGCTCTAGCTCTTTGAGTTCTTTAAAAGAAGATTTTTTAAGTTTTCACTATATGCATATAGGGAAAATCAATGACCTCCTGGGGTGTGGCCAATTTTGACCCCAGGGCTTTGATTTGAACAAACTTGGTAGACACTCATTAGAAGATGTTTCATGCCAAATATCTAAGCTCTTAGGGGTTTTTTTAAGAAGATTTTTTAAGTTTTTCCTATTGGTTGCCATGGCAACCAGAGTTTTTAATGGAATTTAATTTTTTGAACAATTTTGAAAGGGGTCCACCTAAGGATCATTTCTGTAAAGTTTGGTTGCAATTGGCCATGTGGTTTAGGAGGAGATGTTGTTTGAAAAGTTTGACGCCATTTTTTGAAGGACGCACGACGCACAACGCACGACGAGTGATGACAAAAGCTCACCCTTGAGCACTTTGTGCTCAGGTGAGCTAAAAACAATAGGGCCATGATGGTCCTGAAGTCGCTCACCTGTATATAGGCCCCCGGAGCAGGCCAGTTTAAACCCCAGGGCTTTTATTTGAACAAACTTGGTAGACACCCATTAGAAGATGTTTCATGCTAAACATCTAAGGTCTAGCTCGTTGGATTTTTTAAAAGAAGATTTTTTCAAGTTTTTTCTTAACACATATAGTTAAAAACAAGGACACACCTGGGGCAGCCAGGGTTTTTATTTGAACAATCTTTGTAGACACTTACTAGCAAATGTTTCATGCTTAATATCTAAACTCTAGCTATTTGGGTTTTTTCAAAAAAGATTTTAAAGTTTTTGCTATACACTGTATGATATAAGGAAAATCAATGTCCCCCGGGGCGGGGCCAATTTTGACCCCAGGGCTTTTATTTGAACAAACTTTGTAGACACTCACTAGAAGATGCTTCATGCTTAATATCTAAACTCTAGCTATTTGAGTTTTTTCAAAGAAGATTTTTTAAGTTTTTGTTATACACATATAAGAAAAATGAATGACCCCCGGGCGGGCCAATTTTGACCCCAGGGCTTTAATTTGAACAAACTTGGTAAACACTCACTAGAAGATGTTTCATGCTTAGTATCTAACCCTTAGCTATTTGGTTTCTTTTCAAAAAAGATTTTTTAAGTTTTTGCCATACGTATAAAAGGAAAATCAATGACCCCCGGGGCGGGGCCAATTTTGACCCCAGGGCTTTTATTTGAACAAACTTGGTAGACATCCATTAGAACATGTTTCATGCCACATATCTTAGCTCTAGCTCTTTGGGTTCTTTAAAAGAAGTCTTTTAAGTTTTTACTATATGCATATAGGGAAAATCAATGACCCCCTGGGGCGGGGCCAATTTTGACCCCAGGGCTTTTATTTGAACAAAGTTTGTAGACACCCATTAGAAGATGTTTTATGCTAAATATCTTAGCTCTAGCTCTTGGGGTTCTTTAGAAGAAGATTTTTTAAGTTTTTACTATATGCATATAGGGAAAATCAATGACCCCCTGGGGCGGGCCAATATTGACCCCAGGGCTTTTATTTGAACAAACTTGGTAGACACTCACTAGAAGATGTTTCGTGCCAAATATCTAAGCTCTAGCTCTTTGGGTTTTTTAGAAGAAGATATTTAAAGTTTTTTCTTTTGGTTGCCATGGCAACCAGAGTTCTGCATGGAATTAAATTCTTTGAACAATTTTCAAAGGTGACAACCAAAGGAATATTCCTGTGAAGTTTGGATGAAATTGGCTTGGTGGTTTATGAGGAGATGTCATTTAAAGGAAAAGTTCAGGACGGACGACGGAGGACGGACGGACGCCGGACGAAAAGTGATCAGAAAAGCTCTAATTATGCAGGGTAGAGTTATCATTCTTGTGCACTGCACTCCTCCTCAATATGATCTATCCATCTATGTAGTTTCAAGTTAATACCTCAAATACGTTTTGCACAAAAATGTGGGATGAAAGGACAGGCAAAGGGAAGGACAGACAGATGGAGACTATTTCTATATACCCCACTGCCATTTTGGCAGGGGATAACAATTTTAGTAAAGCTTCATGCTAGGAACATCCCAGGAAAATTTCTTCTTGCATATCAGACTGGCGTTTCCGTTAGTTTTACCCATGCCGGAAATTTCATCTGGCATGGGGGGTTCCAGATGAGTCACGTGCTGTACAATGGCACGATAAAGATGACGTCATTTTACCGTTATGAATGATTTTGTAATTCATACGCTGTTGAATGAAGTAGTTACGGTTGTAATGATATAAATTTTCATTGAAAATAAAGATAAAGAATTTAAAATATTATGGAATATGGTAGATTATGCAAGAAAAAATATCTGACATACTCGGCAAGCCTCGTTACCGCCCAATGGGCGGGTCACCTCGGGACTGATATTCCGATCCGAACCGCAAAATATGACAGATATTTTTTCTTTTGTTCTGTTTACATTTAGATGGCCCTCTATCCCTATTCGATAGTGCTGACATACAGACGGATAGACATACAGACAGATGGATGGTGCGATTTTAATATGCCTCCCTTCGGGGGCATAATAATCTTACCTTGCTCTTGATATTTTCCAGCTTTTACTAGTTTAAAAGATTTGAATACAGCACCTTCTTCATGCAGATATTTTGAATGTGGTGGCATTGAGCCAGGAGTTATTCCTCCTATATCTGCATGATGACCTCTGCTAGCTACAAAAAATACTGGGCTTTTCTCCCCCTGGTAAAACACCTGTAAGTTCAGAGTTTATTATTATTAACATTTGTAAAAGATAATTTAGCAATAAAATAACAAACAAATATCAAAGCTAACCCTTTTGGACAGTATCTAGTTTTTGGGACAATATCAAATGAAATGTTTGACAAAAGAAATGAACGAAAATTAGGCCATGACTTTTTTTTATTGGTTACTGTATAGCGCATTATATCTGCGGTGTCAAATGTTGGCGTTTTTTAAAGTGTTTTGAATTGGCGGGGTCATAAATTGGCGCAAACGCTTTTAGACCGCCAAATTAAAACACTTGTTGGCATAAATATGGGGTCATGAATTGGCGATTACAAATAAAGAATAAAAAAAATAAATAAAAATAACACCGGTCACGCAGTAGTTGACTGTCCTCGTTTATTTTACGGCATACGGTATACCTATGCTTGGTCACCTCTATCTTTACATCTGCTAATTCTTATAATTAACTGGGATCAGACAGGTGTAAATATGGTACCGTGTGGTAACTGGACCATGGAAGAGAAAGGTATGCCCTATTATCCTGCAGTCTTTAAAGCGTGAAAAATTGTTCACGGTCACCACAACTGATTGCTATATAATTACAGTTATCATTAGTTTTATTTCAAATTATGAAACATAACAGTGAAAACAAAACAAATACTAGTTTACTTAAATTCGATAATAAATGACATTTAGATTTGTTTCTCGTCGTGTGATCATCTTCGTAATAAATAGAGTATATAGATATCTATATAATTAAATGAGTTTCGTACCAAGACTTAAAAATAAACAAATTCTTTTCAGCTTACTTGTAATGTTTATTTTTATTACAAATAATCAAGGGAGATTACTCGGACGAACCAAAGCTATTTTACCATGAGTTGTCTACCTTTCAAAGAATAATGGCGATGATCTAAAATGGCGGTGCTTTAAATTGGCGGTGTTTTGAATTGGCGCTACTGACCCTGACCGCCAATATAGCCAAATATAAACCCCCGCCAAAATAAGTACTTATACAGTAACATTTTGTTAGAAAATGGTCCATTGGGTGGTCAAAAAAGTCCAATGGGCGGTCAAAAAACAACAAAAACAAGATTGCATTTGAGAAAAATGCTATGCCACCGCATTAATACAACACTAAATAGTAATATAGAAACAGATTTTTTTTAGTTTCTATACAAATGAAGATTGCCATAATGCATAGATCACTGACCTATCTAATTCTTATTATTAGATTAGTGGTTAAATTGTTATTCAAATAAAAGATCAGAGTAGAAATCTATCAATGCAGTTGAGTCTAGTAAATTTGGTGGTGAAGGTCATATTCAAAATTCCATGACTGTACATCAAAGGACAACACAGTAAGACACTTTGTCAAAATCTAGGCCAGCTGATATCAAAGTTCACTTACATCTTAATCTGTGCACATGGTTTAAATTTCAAAGCTGCACATTAAAGGACAAAAAAGTAGGTCACATCATCAAAATCTAGGCCAGCTGATATCAAAGTTCAATTTTACAAATAAAAATGTGCGCATAGTCCAAATTTCATGGCTCTAAATCAAAGGACAAGAAAGTAGGTCACTGTCCCATTGGGCAAGGCAAAATTTTGACCCAAGGATTTAATTCAAACAATCTTGATACAGGTCCACCAAACAACATTTTATGTCAAATATCTAAGCTGTAGCTTTCTTCAATTCAGAAAACATTTAAGTTTCTGTTTTTACTATGTGTACATAATGAAAATCAATGCCCCTGGGCAGGGCCAATTTTGACACCAGGGGCAAAATTTGAACAACTTTGGTAGAGGACCTATGGATGATATTATAAAGCAAACATCAAAGCTCTTAAATATGATAAACAAGAAAAAGCGGCGTTCAATGAACGCAACCCCCACAAGAACCAGCAGCAAGAGCCAGTGGCAAGGAGCCCAGGAGGACACCAAACAAAAACAGGACGGCAAAAGGCAGAGCATGGGCAGGATAATCACTTAAATCATACATATCGGAAGAAATAATTAATAATTGTTAAGGAACTCAAAGAAAACAAATAAATTATTACTTTAATTTTGAATCTTTATACTTTTCCTAAAATCTTAGTACATTTTTCACAGGTTTGATTTTATCGAAATATTTTTTGCTCATCTGGAGGCGTGCAGCTTTAAGCTGGCACAAGGGTAAGACGAGTTCTGCACATTGCCCAGTTGGGGTGAACATTTGAGTAAAGTTTGAAGAAAATTCTTCCATTAGTATAGAATTTATAGAGCGGACACAACATATTGTCTAGTATTGATTGTATGTTATTTAAAGACTTAAAAAGGGGCATAACTTTGTCAAAATGCCATATAAAGTTATAAAACTTGACCTGCTTGATCTTTTTTGTGACACCTCAAATATGTTTTAAGTTTCAAGCAAATACCTTTGCTAGTTTCAGAAATATTCAAATACATGTTGAAATTTAATAATATTTTCTAAGTCAATTTTTGACCTTCAAGTGTGACCTTGACCTTTAGCTGACACAAAGGTAACATGGATTATGCACATAACCTTGTTGAGGTGAACATTTGAGTAAAGTTTAAAGAAATTTTTTCCATTAGTATAGGATTTATAGAGCGGATATGACATATTGTCTAATATTTGATTGTATGTAAATTTGAAGACTTAAAAAGGGGCATAACTTTGTTAAAATGCAATACAGAGTTATGAAACTTGACCAGCATATCTTAATTGTGACACTTCATATATATTTTAAGTTTCAAGCAAATACCTTTTCTAGTTTCAGAAATATTCAAATACATGTTAAATTTAAGAATATTTTCTAAGTCAATTTTTGACCTTCAAGTGTGACCTTGACCTTAAGCCGACAAACAGGTGACATGGGTTCTGCACATAACCTTATTGAGGTGAACATTTGAGCCAAGATTGAAGAAAAACTTTCAAATACTGTAGGACTTACAGAACGGACATGACATACTGGCTAATATTTAATTGTTTGATATTTGACCTCCAATTGTGACCTTGACCTTGAGCTGACACATGGGCAACATGGGTTCTGCACATCCCCTTGTTGAGGTGAACATTTGAGCCAAGTTTGAAGAAAATCCTTCAATTGGTATAGGGTTTATAGAGCGGACACGAAAATGGAGACAGACCGACAGACTGACGCGACAAAGCGAATCCATTATAGCCTCCCAGCATTTTGTGGTGGGGGTATAAATATCTTTGCTCTAGGCCTTGTGGGTCTTTACAAGAACATTTTTAAATTTATTCTTATAATTCCTTTTGGTTGCCATGGCAACCAGATTTTTGCATGGAATGAAATTCTTTGAACAACTTTGGAAGCCCTTCACCCAAGGAACAATCCTGCCAAGTTTGGTTGAAATTGGACTAGTGGTTTTTCACAAAAAGATTTTTTAAGTTCACTATATAATCTATATAACACAAAAACATACACACATACATACACAGTGTTAGCGATTTTCCCTAACTTTACTGAGTACCTGGGACTCAGTGCTAATAGATCTGTTACGTCCCAATTCAAATGGAACGAGTCCTCAATTACAAAAATGTCAATGTTTGCATAACTTCATAATACAATCAAATTTGTGACTGTTGATGTTCGCGGATACCATTGATAGGTTGGCCCAAAACGAGGCCGAGCACTTGCTCCTAGTCTACGTTTGGGATATAAATCTGCATTGCTAATGAGAAAGGAACAAATGAAAATGAGGTGAAAGTCAAGTTCTTATAATACAATTTATTTAAAGTGAATAGAAAATCATTTTCAAGCAGAGCAAAAAAACTTAAGAGAGAATTGACCAATTATCGGGGAAAAAGTGTTTCGTCCCAGGGACTCAACAGCCCTTTTTTTCTTTCCTCCCTGGCAATTTTAGCGAGTAAATTGATATGTTTACTCAGTAAACGCGAACACTGCATACAAACACGCACACAAACACACAGGCGAATCGCTATATGCCACCACATCGCAGATGCTGCGGTGGCATAAAAACAAACAGAAACACCTTTTAAGTAGGAATGAATAAAATTCATAACTGTCTTCCTATTTTACAGGAAAATAATAGTAAATACTCTTTATCTTTTAAATCTTAGCATTGGACTACAGTACAGGCTAAAAGTAACACTATATAAAATATACAGTAGGTTAATAAGCCAGTGCATTGCTAAGTTATATATTCTGCATACTTCAAATGTGAAAATGTCCAAATCAATACATAGGGACAGACATTCTTAAGCATTTGAGCAGACAAGCTTTTTTAAGTCAAGGCCAAGTGTGACCTTAACCTTTGACCTCAAAATCAATACGGATCATCTACTTATCATGACCAATCTAAATACCAACAAGAAACATGGCAATGCCACGAAACCAGATTTTCAATTATCACCATTGTAGATAAATATGTTGTATTTGAAATACAAACACAAGCAACAAACAATGTAACTATGTGCAATGTAAAACATGAATAATGTAGGAGGAATTACCACAGAAGAAGTGTTCACTATATATTCTGTATAAGGAAAAAAAACAAAGGGCCATAATTAGGTAAACAAGAGCCACCGCCGGGCGGGGGCAACGCTTGACTTTTTACTTTTTCTAAACGCAAACATAGAAAGGTTTGAACATATATTGATGTTTCCTTTTTATAAATTTAGTTGGTCTGTCTTGTCACATTAGTATTGTTTATATATTTTGTATATATATGAATAGAAACATTAAGCATATTTCTAAAAATAGCTACAGTACGCGATTTCTAAAAATAGCAACAATGACGCAATTTCTAAAAATAGCAGCAATGACGCAATTTCTAAAAATAGAAAAAATGACGCAATTTCTAAAAATAAAAAAAATGACGCAATTTCTAAAAATAGAAACAATGACGCAATTTCTAAAAAAAGAAAAAAAAATGACGCAATTTCTAAAAATAGAAACAATGACGCAATTTCTAAAAAAAGAAAAAAATGACGCAATTTCTAAAAATAGCAACAATGACGCAATTTCTAAAAAAAGAAAAAAATGACGCAATTTCTAAAAATAGAAAAAAATGACGCAATTACTAAAATAGCAACAATGACGCAATTTTCTAAAAATAGAAAAAAATGACGCAATTTCTAAAAATAGAAAAAAATGACGCAATTACTAAAATAGCAACAATGACGCAATTTCTAAAAATAGAAAAAAATGACGCAATTACTAAAAATAGCAACAATGACGCAATTTCTAAAAATAGAAAAAATGACGCAATTTCTAAAAATAGAAAAAAATGACGCAATTACTAAAAATAGCAACAATGACGCAATTTCTAAAAATAGAAAAAATGACGCAATTTCTAAAAATAGAACAAAAATGACGCAATTACTAAAAATAGCAACAATGACGCAATTTCTAAAAATAGAAAAAATGACGCAATTTCTAAAAAATAGAACAAAAATGACGCAATTTCTAAAAATAGCAACAATGACACAATTTCTAAAAGTAGAAAAAATGACGCAATTTCTAAAAATAGGAAAAAATGACGCAAATTCTAAAAATAGCAACAATGACGCAATTTCTAAAAATAGAAAAACATGACGCAATTTCTAAAAATAGAAAACATGACGCAATTTCTAAAAATAGAAAAAAATGACTCAAAAATAGAAAAACATGACGCAATTTCTAAAAATAGAAACAATGACGCAATTTCTAAAAATAGAAACAATGACGCAATTTCTAAAAATAGAAACAATGACGCAATTTCTAAAAATAGAAACAATGACGCAATTTCTAAAAATAGAACAAAAATGACGAAATTTCTAAAAATAGAAAAAAATGACGCAATTTCTAAAAGTAGAAAAAATGACGCAATTTCTAAAAATAGGAAAAAATGACGCAAATTCTAAAAATAGCAACAATGACGCAATTTCTAAAAATAGAAAAACATGACGCAATTTTTAAAAATAGAAAAAATGACGCAATTTCTATAAATAGAAAAACATGACGCAATTTCTAAAAATAGAAAAAAAATGAAGCAATTTCTAAAAATAGAAAAAAATGACGCAATTTCTTCAAATAGAAAAACATGACGCAATTTCTAAAAAAAGAAAAAAATGACGCAGTTTCTAAAAATAGAAAAACATGACGCAATTTTTAAAAATAGCAACAATGACGCAATTTCTAAAAATAGAAAAAAAATGACGCAAATTCTAAAAATAGAAAAACATGACGCAATTATATACATGTATATATATGTATATATTTGATATATATATATATATATATATATATATATATATATATATATATATATATACATGCATATATATATATATATATTATATATATATATATATATATATATATATATATATATACCTGCATATATGTATATATATACACACACACATTTATATATATATTTATATATAATACATATACTATACATACACACACACCGATAAATGCACAATCTGAGAAAATTCAGTAATATAACCTTCAAGGTCAAGGTCATTAAAGAGCCCAAGCAAATTTGGGTTTGATAAACAACAAGGTCTGGTCCTTAAGAATGTTCTGTTATAATATGAAGTTTATCCCTTCAAAAATAGCAAAGTTACAGTCAGTTACTGCCAAAACAATGAAAATTTCAATAATTTGACCTTCAAAGTCAATGTCATTGATGAGTGAATGTCAAGGTCTGACTGGTTATTTTTAAGGGATATCCTTGAAGATTATTATGTTCAAGTTTGAAGACAATCCATTCAAAAATAACAAAGTAACAGCCAATAACAGCATGAACAAGCAAAAATTGGACTTTTAACCTTGAAGGTCAAGGTCATTTATGGATGAAGGTCAAGGTTAGTGTGGTCTACTGAAAGGTCTTGTCCCAAGGGTTGTTGTGGCCAAGTATGAAGACAATACACCAAGAAATAAAAAAGTTATGATCCAGGTACAAGTTTTCGGACGGCAACGGCAACGGCAACGGAGACGGCAACGGCAACGGCAACGGCAACGCCGACCTGACTATAACAATACCTCTACTTTTTTTTTCAAAAAAAAAAAAGTCGAGCTAAAAATTATCCAATCACAAACCCCGACAATATGCGCCTGAGGGCACTTGATAACAAAGCTTCAGTGAAAGTTTGGTCAAAATCCATTGAGAAATGTAGGAGAAGTTGCGCATGGTAAAAATTGTTCACTATATAATCTGTATAAGGAAAAAAAACAAAGGGCCATAATTAGGTCAAATATTATACAATCACAAAACCCTTACAATATGCCCAAGGCACTTGATGACAAAGCTTCTGTGAAAGTTTGAACAAAATCCGTTGAGAAATGAAGGAGTTGAGCACAGAAGATTTTTTTCACTATATAATCTGTATAAGGAAAAAAAACAAAGGGCCATAATTAGGTCAAATATTATACAATCACAAAACCCTGAGAATATGCCCCAAGGCACTTAATGACAAAGCCTCTGTGAAAGTTTGGTCAAAATCCGTTGAGAAATGTAGGAAATCTGTATAAGGAAAACCTGGTTAAATATGAAGGCTGTGGGTCAAAGGAATTTTAAGGAAAAACTGATGGACGGCCAGACGCACATCCGGCCAAAATGTAATAAGGGGCCATTAATTTCTTTTGTCATTTTCTATTGTTTAATAGAGGGCCAATGGCCCCTTAATCTATTGTTACTGAATGAACTCTATTGTTCTCTTTTGTTCTATTTACAGTAAGATGGCCCCCTATGCTTATTCGGTAGTGTGGACGGACCTCTGGATGGACGAACTGATTCCAGTATACTTTGTTTACAACTTTGTTGTGCGGGGGTATAAATATACCCTATAACAGACTATGTTAATTTTTGACCTCTTAAGGTGACCTTGAACTTGGAGGTAGGGATGCATGTGTTATGCATGACACATTGTCTTATTAATGTGACTAATTGTGCCAAATATTTTCAAAATCCTTTGGTCTATGAAAGAGTTATGGACTGGACACAAAATATACCCTATAACAAACTATGTTAATCTTTTACCTCCAAGTGTGACCTTGACCTTGGCGGTAGGTGACCGGTTGTTCCGCATGACACATTGTCTCATTATTGTGAACAATTGTGGCAAGTATTTACAAAATCCCTTCAAAGATAAGAAAGTTATGGACTGGACACGAAATATACCCTTAAATAGACAATGCTGACCTTGAATGATCAAGTGCGACTATGATCCTGGAGGTATGGGTCTCGTTGTTGCACATGACACATCTTCTTATTATAACAAACATTTGTGGCAAGTTATTTCAAATTCCTTTACCTTTTTTCTTCGAAAAGGCAGGGGACAAAAACAGTTTTTAACTGGAATACTTACTGGTGTAATGACAGTAAGATCAGGCAGATGACTGCCACCTGCCTGAGGATGGTTTGATAAAATCACATCACCTGGTTCAATATCATTGCCCAATGTCTTCATCTGAAATATAAACCTAATTTATTAACTGTATGTTCTATCTTTTTACAATATCTTTATCTGTATGTTCAATATCTTTTTACAATATCTTTATCTGAAATAAAAACCTAAGTCATAAATATTGTACTTTCAATATCATTCCCAAATGTCCTTATCTGAAATATAAACCTTATTCAGTTAATACTGTACGTCCAATGTCTACATCTGAAATATAAACCTAATTCATTTTTACTGTACATTCAATATCATTCCCAAATGTCCCTATTTGAAATATAATTTAAACATAATTCATAAATACTGTATGTTCAATATCATTCCCTACTGTCTAAATGTGCCATATTGTAAAATATACGCATCATAAGCGCAAAGTTACGTACAGTCCCACAGTGTGGTTTATTTTTGATCATGGCATATAAACCTCAGTCATTAATACTGTACGTTCAATATCATTTCCCAATGTCTTCATCTGAAAAATAAACCTTAATCATTATACTGTACCTTCAATATCATTTTCCAATGATTTTATATGAAATATAAAAGTTATTTATGATAGTCTGTCCCATTAAAAATGGTAATGAACTTTTGCCTGGTGTGAATTAAAAAACGAGGTTGAATAAAAATTAAAGTATTTTTGTAAACTAACAAGAGCCATGTAAGCATGGCCATCCCTCTCCGAATGTGTTTGCTCATTGCTCGTATGTAGTTGAGCAGAATAATTCAACCTAAAGAGGTCTTTTGGTAATGAAAACTGATGGCTGAAGTGATTACAGATTTGAAACCTATGTGAAAACTAATGGCTGAAAATACCAAAGGGCAATAACTGAAAAATAATGCAGGGTATGTTATCGTTCTTGTGTGCTGCACTCCTCCTCAATGAGATCTATCCACCTATGAAGTTTCAAGTTGTTTCCTTGAACACTTTTTGAGATAAGCTCCGGACAAAAAGTATGAAAAATAACAAAGGGCAACAACTCAAAAATAACAAAGGCTAGAATTATCACTCTTGTGCACAGCATTCCTCCTCAATAAGATCTATCCACCTATGAAGTTTCATGTTGACATCTCGAAGATTTTTTTAATTTATGCTCCACTCAGGTAAAAACTTAAGTATGAAAAATAACAAAGGGCAATAACTAAAAAATTATGCAGGTAGAGTTATCATTCTTATGCACTGCACACCTCCTGAGTGAGATCTATCCACCCATCAAGTTTCATGTTGATATCTCAAAGGCTTTTTGAGTTATGCTCTGGACAAAAATTAAGTTTGAAAAATAACAAAGGGCAATAACTGAAAAATTATGCAGGGTAGAGTTATCATTCTTAAGCACTGCACTCCTCCTCAATATGATCTATCCACATATTAAGTTTCAAGTTGATATCTCCAACACTTTTTGAGATAAGCTCCGGACAAAAAGTATGAAAAAAACAAAGGGCAATAACTCATAAATTATAATGGGTAGAGTTATTATTCTTGCGCACAGCATTCATCCTCAATAAGATCTATCAACCTATGCAGTTTCATGCTGACATCTCAAAGACTTTTTGAGTTATGCTCCACTCAGGTGAAAAATTAAGTCTAAACAAGAGCCACCGCCTGGCGGGGGCAATGCTTTTCTAAAAGCAAACACATGTCACATTAGTTTTGTCTATATATTTTGTATATATAAATACTCATTTATACATATATATATATATATATATATATATATATACATGTATATATATATATATATATAGAGAGAGAGAGAGAGAGAGAGAGAGAGAGGAGAGAGAGAGAGAGAGAGAGAGAGAGAGAGAGAGAAACACGCAATTCTATAAATAGAAATACGCATTTCTAAAAATAGACATGCAATCCTATAAATAGAAACACGCAATTCTATAAATAGAAACACACAATTCTATAAATAGAAACACGCAATTCTAAAAATAGAAACACCCAATTCTAAAAATAAAAACACGCAATTCTATAAATAGAAACACGCAATTCTAAAAATAGAAACAACGCAATTCTAAAAGTAGAAACACGCAATTCTAAAAATAGCAATTCTAAAAATAAAAACACACAATTCTAATAATAGAAACATGCAATTCTTTACATAGAAACACTTATTCTAACAAGAACGAGTTTGTTAAACACAAATGCCCCCGGCTCAGACTCTTGTCAGTAACAATATTTAAAACAAGAGCCATGTCAACATGGCCATCCCCCGCCGAATGTGTTTGCTCATTGGAAGAATGTATATGTAGTATAGCGGAATAATTCTATTTTAAGAGGTCTTTTGGTAATGAAAACTGATGGCTATAGTGATTACAGATTTGAAACCTATGTGAATACTGATGGCTGAAAATAACAAAGGGCAATTACTGAAAAATAATGCAGGGTAGGTTATCATTATTGTGTGCTGCATCCCTCCTCAGTAAAATCTATCCACCTATGAAGTTTCAAGTTGATACCTCAAATACTTTTTGAGAAAAAATTAAAGTATGAAAAAGAACAAAGGGCAATAACTCAAAAATTATTAAAGGTAGAGTTATCATTCTTGTGCAGTGCACACCTCCTGAGTCAGAGATCTATGCACCTATGAAGTTTCATTTTGATATCTCAAAGGCTTTTTGAGTTATGCTCTGGACAAAATTAATTTTGAAAAAAAACAAAGGGCAATAACTGAAAAATAGTGCAGGGTAGAGTTATCATTCTTAAGCACTGCACTTCTCCTCAATGAGATCCATTCACCTTTGAAGTTCAAAGTTGATACCTCAAATACTTTTTTAGATAAGCTCTGGACAAAATAGCATGAAAAAAAAGGGCAATAACTCAAAAATTGTATAGGTAAGAGTTATCATTCTTGCGCACAACATTCCTCCTCAATAAGATCTATCCACCTATGACATTTCATGTTGATATCTCAAACACTTTTTGAGTTATGCTCCACTCAGGTGAAAAATTAGGTATGAAAAATAACAAAGGGCAAAAAACCCAAAAATTATGAAAGGTAGAGTTATCATGCTTGTGCACTGCACACCTCCTGAGTGAGATCTATGCACCTATGAAGTTTCATGTTAATATCTCATAGGCTTTTAGAGTTATGCTCTGGACAAAAATCAATTTTGAAAAATAACAAAGGGCAATAACTCAATAATCATGCAAGGTAGAGTTATCATTCTTGTGCACTGCACTCCTCCTCAATGAGGTCTATCCACCTATGAAGTTTCAAGTTGATAACTCAAATACTTTTAGAGATATGCTCCGGACAAAAATGTCGGACGGAAGGACGGACGGACGGAAGGTCGGACGGACGGACGGAGACTATTTCTATATCCTCCGCCGAAATTTTTCGGCAGGGGATAATAAAGGCTGTATCAGGCAAAAGTGTAAAAAATCTATTTTTAGCACTGGTGACCTTGACCCAACTGACCACTAACTCCATCCAAAGGAAGAATATCATGCAACTTATTTTCCTACCAAATATGAAAAAAATCTGTCAATATATAAAAGCTGTATAGACAAAAGTGTAAAAATCTATTTTTAGCACTGTTGACCTTGACCCAACTGACCCCTACCTCCATCCAAATGAGAATACCTCAATTTTATGTTCCTACAAAATATACAAGACATCTGTCGATAGAATAAGGTTAATACACCTGTAAAAGTGTAAAAAATCTATTTTTGACATTGGTGACCTTGACCCAAATGACCCCTTACTAAAGGAAAAGGAAGAGGACCTCCCTTGGTATGACAATTATAAACATGAAAGACACTAACTTAAAAATAAAGGCTGTATGAGCAGAAATGTTTAGATTTATTTTTTTACACAAGTGACCTTGACCTAGAAACGCCTAACGCCATAAAAAATTAGAGGACCGTTAAAGGTATCCACCTACCAAATATGAAAGATATCATTAAATAAATTAAGTAATTAGGTGAAATCTTTTGATAAATCCAACTTGGCGGAATAGATTAACCATACAAGGCCCTATTTTCAATTGATAAAAAGGGAAATTACTGGGAAAATGGATGGCACATTTATATAACTTGGCAATATCATGTACATTGTATTGATAAGTAAGTGTGAAAATTATTAAGCCATTAGTTCAGATAGAACATAAGATATTTCAAACTTGCCAGTTTAGGTTAACCATTATTCATTTTCTAAGTGCTGAAAAGGGCCATAACTTGGTGCAAATGGAAGCCATAGTAATGTAACTTGCCCAGATCATATACTTTTTATGGATTAGTAAGTGTGTAAATTATGAAGCCATTGGTACAGGTAGAACTTAAGAAAAATCCAACATGCCATTCTAGGTTAACCTTGTATGGACAGACGGACAGACAGACAGATTACTATATGCCCGGGGGCATAAAAATAGAAACACGCAATTCTAAAAATAAAAACATGCAATTCTAAAAATAGAAACACGCATTTCTATAAATAGAAACACGCAAATCTAAAAATAGAAACATGCAATTCTTAAATAGAAACACGCAAGACATAATAACAAATTTACAGCCAATAATAGCAAGAACAAGCAAAATTTGGACTTTTAACCTTGAAGGTCAAGGTCATTTATGGATATAGGTCAAGGTTAGTGTGGTCCACTGAAAGGTATTGTCCCAAGGGTTGGTGTGGCCAAGTATAAAGGCAATACACCAAGAACTTAAAAAGTTATGATCCAGGTACAAGTTTGCGGATGGCAACGCCGCAACAATAACAATACTCTGCTTACCTCTACTTTTTTTTCAAAAACAAAATTTCATTTAATTGGTCTGTCTTGTCACATTAGTTACACGCATTAGAAACACGCAATTTTATAAATAGAAACACGCAATTCTAAAAATAGAAACACGCAATTCTAAAAATAGAAACCGCAAATTCTAAAAATAGAAACACGCAATTCAAAAAATAGAAACAAGCAATTCTAAAAATAGAAACACCCAATTCTACAAATAGAAACACGCAAATCTATACACAGAAATGCGCAATTCTATAAATAGAAACACGCAA